AGTGGAAATTTTTTCTAAGGTAAAGGACTGTCCCAAAGAGGAACAAATGTAAGGGCAGAACCAAATCATTCACAAAAACATTTATAAAACTTAAAACTTAAATGTGGAATGCGTTTTTCAACACTTACCCAGGACAAGCATTCTATGTCTATACCAAAAGAATTGCTTAGTTTCTACAAGGATCAGGCTCCTGTTTCAGAAACTGAGTCTCCAGTGAGATGAGATTCTGTTGACATTTAAGCTGAGTCTATGCTCTAGTTCCCATTTGAAAGCTCAGTCGGTTTTTCCAATCTAATGCCAATGCCCAGCTGGTGTTCAGCCACCCAGGTTGGTGATCAAGGGAAGACTGGAATAGCCTGGCCTGTGGAGCACCAGAGTCCACCAGGTCGGGATGCACTGGAGTATGGTTGCTGAGACAGAAGAAGACCTGATTCAGGCTGACAGAGTACAAAGATTTTGCTCTTGGCTTGCTCTTGGTCCCACTGTCCCATTTCTGTATTCCCTGCTAAGGATGGCTTCAGTCTGGAAATGACATTCATCAGGACTGAAGATCAAAGGCTCCTGGTCCCAGGTACCCAAAGGCTCCAGGTTTCTGGTAGCTGTGTAGTGAGAAGCCTGAGCAGCAAGGCCAGGCCAGGGACCTCTGGGTGGGGCAGATTTCTGCTGCAAATGACCACCAGTGGCTCCTGGGCTTTGTCTGTGATTTCTCCAGTTTTCTTAGACGAGCAGTTTCACTTATCCTTGGCTGAAGGAATGCAGTTTTCAAGTGCCAGGGGACATCAGAGTCTAGGGACACTCTCTAGACTTCTCAGGGTGTTTTTAGCATGGTGCTGGCCTTGGCAGAGGGGCTGCTGAGGAACTCAGTCCTGAAATCCAGGTCCTGCCAGGCCTGTAGTAGGCATGGTTTGCTGGCAGCACCTCAGTCCCCGGCTGCCAGCCCAGTCCGTTCTGCAGTGATCCACAGAAGCCCCGTCATCTTCTGCATCTCAGCCCTGGCCTGTCTCCAGTTTCTTTTCTCAGATACTGACTGAGTCACACTTTCCTTTTACCAGAAATGTTTACTTTTGGGTTTTTGCAATAAGACAGCTGAAACCTTTTTCTCTGACTTTTTTGATGCAGTTGAGGTCATTGGCAAACAAGGAGTTAACAATAGTTAGCAGTATCTGCCTGCCCATCGCTGGGTAGACTGTTATGAAGAAAGAAAGCACCTCCATGTTAAGCAAGTCCCTAACCCCGGTTTGAAACAGGCCTGAGTTCTCAGAACTGCAGACATAAATTCCTGGAACCAGAAAGTACAAAGTCAGGATGTCAGGAACGGTCATCTGGCTATCTGGTGATAAATGATTCATCACAGAATGTCCCAACCGGGAGACAGCTCAGGAAAAAGGGCTTAACAAATGACCAGGTTTAAACTGGACAGGAGATAATAGCAGAATGCTGGAAAGTCCCTAGGCAGGAGCCAATCAGGATTGTACCCGTACTGAAAACCCCCTGATATGGTAACCTTGTGGTTTTCGCATTCAAAAACTGTGCATCCTCAGGGAGATGTGCCTCCTCTAGCCTCTCGCTGTGTCAATGTGCTCTATGAGGTCCTGCTGCGGTTTGGACTGCTCCAATAAACCTTGCTTTTGCAGTTTGGTGAGTCTGTGTCTCTAATGGTCTCTTCCGGGTCTGAAGGCATGGGCACAACAATTAAAAGGCAGAGGCAGCTGCTGCAGCAAACTATGTCTCATCATACCAGAGCTCCTAAGAAAGCACAGCTGTCCTCAACTTTGTAATACAGAAAAACTGAAACGGAGAAATTGCGGAAGATAGCGATTTACAACATTGTATCTATTTACCTCTTGCTACTGTGACTGAGTTTGTGCTCTGTAACCAAATTACGGCTCTGCTCCATTGATGGAGGAGGAACAGCCTCAGAGCCCCAGCATGTTGATGTCTTGACCTGGGAAAACCTTCCGCCATGCCTTGCTAAGAGGGTGTTAGAATTATCTAGGATGACTCCTGACTCTTTCAGAATGCAGATCAATTCTGTGGCTTGGCCCCTAACTTCATTCTGGAATAAAGCAAAAAACTCACCCATTAGTTTTCAAAGAAGGACACAGTCAAAACACCAGGAAGGCTTTCACTCTAGCACACACCTGAACCGGGTTCCCAGCCTGGGGCCCCACCTTAGAAGAGATCACCTCACAATCACAGGTATATATTTTCCAAAAAGAAATTAAAATCTTTACACAGAAAGAAATCACATTATGATGACAAATTATATTTTTTAG